TATAATAACTTATGTTCAATTTTTAATAAAAATAATCTTTAAAATGTATATTTGTATACATAAATATATTTATCAAACATATTAATATCTAAATTTTTCAAAATTAGGTAAAATAGTATATTTAAATAAAATTCCGTAAATTCAATATATGAAATAATTTAATAAAATTCATAAATTCACTTAATCCAATTCAACAATTCATGAATCCACACTTTATTTTTTCATAAATTAAACTTCATATACTTTTTAAAATTCTAGAATGCGAGAGGATAGATCATTTCCAACTAGGAGGCTTCTCATTAATCTGTTTCTGGGAATTAAGGTTTCCCACCATAGTTCACCCCTAGAAAAGGGCGGCTTGAGCGCGGAAATCAGAAGGATTTCCACCAGGAACGGAGCAACAAGGTTGGAAGGGGGTTTCATGGAACCCTCTTGATTTAGGGAACACTGTAAAACTTAGTTGTACTAACATGCTCATAATGAAATTTGAACCCCTAATCTCAATGCTAATTGTCAATTATATAATTAATTCTACCTATTTTGATGGAATGTTGACTAGATCACTCTAACCGAAATTTTGATGGAAATTGAAAAAAGTGACAATTTCTTACAAGTTCAAACTTTAATTACTGTGGCGTTACAAATTAAAGGTTTGTGAAATCTATGCACTAATTACAAAGGTTAATGATCGTGTGTAATAACTATTTGCTCATTTTTAATAAAAATAATCTAAAAAGGTATTAAAATATTTCTATAATAACATATTAATATCTAAAGTTTTTCAAAATTAGATATAATATTAAATTAAGATACCACTTGGATACACAAATTCAATAGATAAAATGATTGACTTAAATTCATAAATTCACTTCATCCAATTCAACAATACATGAATCCACACATTTTTTTCCCGGAAATCATGCGGATATTAAACTTGATATAGGACATCCTCCAATAGTATATTATAGAGTTTTGTATAATTTTTTCCATTTCAAATTTTCTGAAAAGAAAGTGAAAGTAGAAAAGATATTATTGCCTTTACTATTAATTAATTATTTCATATAAAAAATATCAATTTCAAGTTTCAAATCTAGGTTCCTTCAAACAAAGACAATAATCATAACCAACTACACTAAACAAATTTATTGTATATTTTTAATAAAAAAACATACACGAAGTTAAACTCCGAAATTGAAGGAATTTTCCATCATGATTAGCAAACCCACTAAGTCTAGCGTATATATTTTATTGTGCTTGATAATTCAATTTTCATAGTGGAGTTCATGTAGTTTTCTCAATTTTAAAGTTCCTAATCTCTCTTTAATTTTCGTTTAAGTTTTGGTAATTGGTTAACTTGGAAGAAACTAATTATGTTACTACGTGTTGTGTTCTTGCATTTTTCAAATTAAATTTTTGTGCTTTTTATCTTTGTTCTTTATCTCATTCTAACTCTGAAATTTTCTCCATCGTGCAATAGTTGTGTCCTTTCCATTTTCCAATATAAGGCTGACTTTGAAAACCAATCTTCTGGTAACTCTTGGCACTATGATTTTATCATTGGGAATTTAAGCTGGGCAAGTAGAAGAATTCAACTCCGATATCAATCAATGGAAAATAGAATGGAGTTCTATAAATGGAGTTATAGAAGGAGGATTAGAAATTGAATTTTTGGTTGAAAATTATGCCCCTTAAAATAAAAATTTGGTTGTACAACGGAGAGTGGTGGCTATTGGATCCTTAGATTTTTGCACTTGTCAGAACCTAATCATATATTAAAATAAGGACTCATTGATTGATTTACTGAAGTAGGTTGATTCTTAATTCAACCTACTGGAATCGATAGATAAGGAGTGTCTAATTTTGTGCCTTATTAATTTGATCGATTTTATTAGTAATTTGGAGGTAACCATATTTTATCATTTGCTCTCAAGTTTTGATGGTCCCCTCTTAGCTGAGTTGTTAGTATATAATTTACTTGAATTAACAACTCTCCATTTCTTTTTTATTAGTGGCATCTTATTCCTAAAATGAGAACATTGAACCATTTCTATATGATTGTGAGGTTTAAGATTTAGTTTCAAACTATCTATGGGTCGTGTGGGAATTCCAATGAGTTTTTATACTCTTTCTTTTTTGCTATCAACTAACCAATAACATTTGAAAGGGGCTTAATTATCATTACGAAAATGAGATCAATGATAAATTTTTATAATATTTTATATTCTTAAATGATGATATTTCTTCGAATGTTCGACCTATTTATTGTTTCTTTATTTATCATCTCGATCTAAGCATTGTCAATTAAATTAAACGAGTTGATAAAATTAACCGTAACATAAAAATATAAATAATCAAATATTAACATTATGCTCAACCGGCCGGTTATAAGCCAGTATATCATGGTTGTCATGTCGGTGGTAGGCCACCCGGTTGAACCTGGTTCAACCTGTACCGGTCATGAAACCGGCATGACACCACCGGTATGACTGGTATGATCGCCTTACGCATTCTAAACAAAATGGCATCATTTCAATGAATTTAATTAATAAAAAAAATATTTATTATTCATTTTATGAATTTAATAGTTAAAAGTTGATGATATTTGTTGGATTGTAACTAAATTTTCCACAAATATGTTTTATATATATGATTAAATGCATTGTATATTAATTGTCTTACATTTTTTTAAACCGACATGAACCGGCACAAATTGCTTATACCACCGGTCGTACAATTCCACTTGCCAAACCGGCACAATGGTATAAACCGGTTTGACAACCTTGAAGTATATATATATATATATATGGCGAGTTCTACGGTACCCCGAGTGAAATCCGGTGTACCGCATACCTTGAGTATGAAAACGCTATCCAGACCTTGAATTGATTGATCTTTTGGACATGATATTATACTCTAACCCTTAAAGATCAAAATCTAGGTCTTAGCTCCCTAAATCTTATACTCCAATATCAATTTAATTAGAAACAATAATCGACGGCTATGATTCGTCCAAATATAGGCAAAAAATGAATGCTCCGTCTTAGGGTTTATAGTTTATGATTTAGATAATTAGGACCTAGGGTTCACTCAATAAGGATTAGAGTATAGTACCAAGCCCTAAGTTTTTTCTATTTCGAGGCCTAGATAGTGTTTTCATACTCAAGGTATACGCAGCGGCGGATCCAGAACACAGAAGAGCACTGGGCCGCATTTCGTTAGAAAATTAGAACCGTTAGTAAATATAATGATTATAGTTTTTTTACAACGTCATTTGTACACGACAATATTTAGTTTAGCGAATGCGTCAATAATGGAGTCTACATCCATACCAATAGTATGCACTGTTTCAAATAAAAATACTTGAGCAAGGCGAGAAATTCATTGCTTTTTTTTTTTTTTGCGCAAATCAATTTTCACATGTTGCATTGTTGAAAAGGTTCTCTCCATAGTAGTTGTTGAACGAGAAGCGTCAACACTAGACAAATCAATCGACTAATCCATTTGCATTGTGTGTCCATCCCTATATCATCCAACTGCTCTAGTAAATTTTCAAGGGAACAAACCTCATATTTCATTTAGTCTTTTACGTTTTAGACTTTTAGGTTTCGTTGTTTTTTTAGACGAACAATCTTTGGGGCTAGAATTTCTAAACTAAATTTAGAGTAGTGATTTGAATATGTTCATGTGAATCATTTTTCTATTTATGCCCAATCTTATTATAAAATAACATTGGACCGAATGCCTAAAATCAAAATTTCATAAGAACTATACTAACATCGGATCCAGAGGAGGGCTGGGCCGGGGCCCGGGGTGGCCACCCCCTAAATCCGCCAATGGGTATACGGTACCCTGAATTTCACCCGGGGTACCGTAGAAGCCACTATATATATAGATATAGCTAACTTGAACACATGTAAATAATAAAAACAAAATATATATATGGGTAGAGAGAACGAGCGAGTGAAAACCGGCGGGAAAAGGGGAGGTGAAGAAGCAAGAGCTGCAGGGCAGCACACGTACGGCCGCCTTAGCTCTGAGGGTTGCTAGCTACGTGTAACTTTGCATGAGAAGGAAAATGTCAAACCAACAACACATAATTAGGGAGGGAAAAATACCCTTCTTTTTCTATCGACCTGCCTTGTTTTTTTTTTCCCCCGTTCCTTTTTCCCCTCTCTCTGTGTCAAAGTGGGGGTAGGGGAGGGAAAATTAAATTGAGGGGAAAGGGGAGGGCATTATGGTCAGTTGAGGCTTGGGTGGGGAAGCATTCAGTAGACAAGTAAAAGGGAAAGAAATTCTGAAGCGGTTTCCTGCTTAATAATTGATTTAATTTAATTACTAAAAGAGAAAGGAAAGACAAGAGAAAATTTCTCCTTCTCAAATCTGCTTCAATTTCTCTCTCTCGCTCTAGACAGACAGACAGACAGACATAAGAAGAAGGAGGAGGAATAAGAAAGAAAGAAGAAGGTGGGGGGTGGATAGACGACGACTGCAATTAAACATTCAAGTAGCTAAGCTAGCACTACTAGTAAGCCACGGCAGCCTGCCAGCGCCCCTACCTTGCTCTCTGCAGCAGCCTGCAGCTCAGATCGTCTCTGCCACTTTCTTTTAATTTAGTCGTCTTCTTCTTCTCCTCCTTCCTAGCTTGTTCTATATTCGTACCCAGCCAGTCCTGTAAAAATATTATACCCATATATATTTAAAAGTCTGCCAGCCCCAAATATTAATTTACGGGGAGAGACCCAAAGAAAAACTTAGACAAGGTCGGTGTTCTCTTTTCTCCTATCTATCTATCTATCTTCCTGATTTCACCCTACAAAATACAACCTTTTTTTCTGGTAGTCAACAAATCTCCTTTTTCTTCCTTTGAGATTCTTACTCTCTGGCGTGTGTTTAAACTTTTGGGTTTGTTTGATCAGGGTTATATTATATACTATCTTGTGTGGTAATTAGGAGGGATAAAGGAGGAGGAGGAGGATGGTCCAAAGAGGAGTCAGCTATTAATGGGATATTCAAAAGATTTAGGATTTTCAGAAGAAGAAGAAGAAGACGAGGAAGAGGAGGAGGAGGAATTGGAAGAGGAAGAGGAACGATTATTGTTCATGGGCGCTGCATCCAACAGATTAGTGATGATGAATCACAGTAACGGTAGCAACAACAATAACCACTCCTCCTCGTCCCCAAGTGGTAGAGGTTCCTCAGCAGCAGCAATGGAACAGCAGCAAAATTACCATTCACATCATCAGCAGCAGCAGCAGATTCCATATGGTGGGATGATGCTTCATCATCATCAGGAGTCATCGCCTTCTACCTCCGCCGCCGCGGCTGCCAACTTCATGTAATCAATGATTGATGAACTAGTGTAGTTGTAGTTAGTATTCATTTTATGTGTAGACAATTAATGGTTCCTGTGTTTTTTTGATGAATTAATGAGCAGGAGCAAAGAAGGCGTGGCGGCGGGAGGAGGAGGAGCCTACGATTTGGGGGAGTTGGATCAAGCGCTGTTGTTGTATTTAGACGGCGGCCACAATCATCACGACCCTTCTAATTCCTCTCTTCACCACCATCCTCAAGACCACAACCAACGACGTACGATGAGTCCTCCCTCTCTCTCTCTCTCCATCTTGTTTTCTTTTTTTCAATTTCTTGTGATATTTTTGGGGCGGTGGTCCGGGAAGGAAGGGGGAAGATCCGATTCTGTTCGTAAAAATCATTTTCTGGGGAGGTGGGTCGGTCTTTTTTTTGTTGTTTCAGTTGGTCACAGGGAAGGCATGGTTGTATGGTTTGGGATGGGATCCCCGCTGCACCAGTCTTTCTTTCTGGTGTCAGTCAGTAAATTTCTTTGCTTTTCCCTTTGACCAGATATCCACTTCTCTCCCTTCCCTTCCCTCCTGCAGCAAGTCCTGCAGGCTGCAACTGCAATCCCCAGCCTGCCAGCCAGTACAAACAAGAAGAAGAAGATCTCTTCTTTTGCTCTGAATTATTTCTTCTTTCCATTTTATCTACAAGAAAAAGCAAAATGGGGAGGGGACCATATATATGCTAGCTAGCTGCAAGTATGTAACAAACTAATAAGCTGCTGCCAGCTTCCTCTCTCAGAAGATGAATCCACTTTCATGATCTCTCTCTTCACCCCAGTTTTTGTTTTTCCTTTTTCCCCCTTTTTGGAATCTACACAACAACTAGCAGTACCTGCTACACAGAAACCTCCATCGCGTGATTCCCCCATCCCCTTGCCTTTCCCGGGTCCTACCAACAGTTTGCTTTTGTCTTTCTTTTTTATTTACTGGGGCTTCTACCTTATTATTATAATCATGGGTGCAGTTCAACAACATCAACATGGCAACCATCAGAGCGCAGCAGCAGCAGCAGTGGCAGGGGGAGGTGGAATGAGCAGCAATACCAACAGGCCTCCAACTCTCAACATCTTCCCTTCCCAGCCTATGCACTCCCTCCTCCACCCTTCCTCTAAGGTTAAAAAAAAAAACCCTCAGTACATATATCCTTTGCTACTAATTACCGCGAAGATATTTAGTTTCGTTGTTGTTTACTGACTGTTGGTGTTTGTTGCATGGATTTGGTAGACGAACACTGCTACCACTGCCCCTCTCCATCATCATCAACAACAACATCAGCCCGCCGCAGCCAGCAGCGGTTCCAAGAGACCATCCGCCGACTCCATGGATCACTTGGCCGCCGCCACAAGAAACCCTCACGCCGCCGCTCCTCTAGCTTCCGCGCCACCAACTTCTGAACCTCCTAAATCCATCAAGGTATAATCTTAATGTCCTTCACTAAACTTCATTTCATTCCCACCATCTGCTCCACCCAAGCCAAGCCAACTACATCCAAATTTAAAAGTGACTTCAACTTTCCAAAATTGTTTGTCGTACATGCATACTAATTACGTTAAACCCTTTTGGGGGGATGGTGCAGAGGGAAGGGAACCGTAAAGGTCCAATCACAGCATCAAATTCAGAGCATGAAGGACCCAAAACCCCAGACCCTAAGGTGAGGGACACCTGCCTCCCTCCCAAATTTTAATTTACACTTGTAGGCCAGGTGAGGGGTTTTCCTCTAATGATGAAGGAATTATTAATGTGGGTTGGGTTGGGTTGTGTTGTGTTGTGTTGTGCCCCCAGACATTGAGGCGACTTGCTCAGAATAGAGAGGCAGCCAGGAAAAGCAGGCTCCGGAAAAAGGTCTCCAAAACTAACTCTCATCATTTCAACTACTTTACTCTTTGGAAATGTGACTACCCAACATTAATTATTGTAGTAACGTTCCATAAACAATCGGACTTATTCTCACACAACCATGGCTTCTGTTTCTTTTCCTTTGGCAGGCTTATGTTCAGCAGCTGGAGTCCAGCAGAATCAAGCTTACCCAACTTGAACAAGAGCTACAGCGAGCTAGATCTCAGGTGCCCGGGTTTATACCTTGCTACAAAATAATAATAATAACAATAAATGTGTTAGGTTTCCTTTAATTTCCCCTCCTTTTAGTGCAGTAGTTATAATTAACTGTGTGAAAAAAGTCGGGTCCCTACTTGATCATAATTTGAAGTCTTGCTGCTTGTATTTAGGGCATGTTTTTCAGTGGCGGTGGCCTTTTAGGTGGAGACCAAAACCTTCCTGTCATCAGCAATATCAGTACCGGTAATTAACACTGACAATTATTATTTAATTAATTTAAAAGCACTAAGGAAAAAAAAAACCCCTATATTGGAATCAGTTCTGTACGTATTGATGGAAATGAGGGGAAATATATGTAGACGCGGCGGTGTTTGACATGGAGTACACGCGGTGGCTGGAAGAGCACCACCGGCTGACCTGCGAGCTGAGGGCCGCCGTGCAAGAGCACCTGGCGGAGAACGAGCTGCGGATGTACGTGGACAACTGCTTGGCTCACTACGACGTCGTCATGAACTTGAAAGGGATGGTGGCCAAGACCGACGTCTTCCACCTCGTCTCCGGCATGTGGAAGACCCCCGCCGAGCGCTGCTTCTTGTGGATGGGCGGCTTCCGCCCCTCCGAGCTCATTAAGGTACGTACGTACGTGAACAATAATTATACTTTCCAAGGCAGATTCCAGTGTTTACATTGACGCGTGTGGGGAATTAGTATAGAGTTATATTGCATGGCGCCCCATTAAATGCAAGAGAGAAAAAACAAGCAATATAATAGAGTAGGAAAGGTGACAAGAGAAGGAAATAGGATACAATAACCAGCATACAAGTAATGATAACCCAAGGGGAAACCACATGGGAAGAAAAGAAATGCCCCAAGAAAGAAAGGGGTTGGTTACCACTAAAAGGTAGAGTATAGGTCTCAATCTCATAAAGCTCATGTCCCTTCCCTTCCCTTCCCTTCCTGCTCCTCGTTTGCGCACGTATTTTCTTTCCCTCGCTTCCTCTCAATAATTTCTCTGTGTCACGCACACTGCTGCTGCTGCTGCACATAGCTTTCACGCCTGCCTGCTTCCTTCCTTTCTTGTTTCTGTTTTCATTTATTGATTTGTTCTTTTCTTCTCAAAATGTATATATGTATGTATGTAGCAAGAGATTTGGTTTGTAGCAGCAGTAAGTCCTGGACTGGACTGGAGTACCAGCTAGCAGTACTGGGTACTACTGGGTAGATATATAAATATAAATAGGGCCATGATCTTGAGTTTTGGTCCCTAGTAAATAAATTGAAAAAGTCCTACTCCGAACCCACATCTAATCATTCACCAGATCCCCGTACCCCCTCCATTTTGTATTGCTTTTCCCTCTTTCTTTCACACACCAGGCCACCTCGTGACAGTTTGCCAAACAATACATGCCAACAACCCAACACAGAAATAAAAAAAGCTAGAGATGAAAAGGACGAGAGAGCTGGCTAGTTAGCTTATTGTTTTTGGGAATGATAGCTAGGGGTTTGGTTGGCATGCAGATAATCGTGAGCCAGATCGAACCGCTCACGGAGCAGCAAATCCTGGGGATATGCGGGCTGCAGCAGTCGACTCAAGAGGCGGAGGAAGCACTGTCCCAGGGCCTGGATTCTCTGAACCAGTCGCTGTCGGAGACGATAACGTCCGACTCGTTGAGCTCACCGCCCAACATGGCTAACTACATGGGTCAGATGGCCATGGCCATGAACAAGCTCTCCACCCTCGAAGGCTTCGTCCGACAGGTATTCATTCCCTCCCTACTAATTTCACCTTTAATTAAGTAATTACTCCACATCAATTTTTTTTTATAGTAATTGACTAATTTAATAATTAAATCGTAACTGAGATATTATTATTATTATTATTAATCAATAATTAGTAATAGAAAATCAGGGAGAGGTGCGGGGCCGTTGTGGGTTTGTTGTCTGGGGGAAACCTAACCCATCAACAAAGATTATGATTTTTATTGTGTAGATAGATATATATGGAACCACTCCATGTATATGTGTTGGGGGCGGTTGGGTTATTAACATCAAAATATATCCTTTATGATTAGCTGAGCATAAACTTGAGATTTAACACATATTTAAACATAATATTAATTACAGCTATATACATATGGGTCAGACTCGTGTGCTCCTATAGCATACTATGCTTCTTGTACTCATAGTGAAATATCTCTATATAGACCATGAATTAAACCGAGTTTATGGTATGTACTATACTTTAACCTCAAATGGGTAAACCTCAGGCCCCGATTTTCTAATCCCAAATCCAAAGTTCAATTTAAAGAAAAGAAAAATTGACCGTTGAGATTGGCCGGAACTAATCTATGTAAATCTAATGGGCAGATCATTTGGAGCATACTAGTTGTCTCCATATATATATATATATATATATATATATATATATATATATAAAAGAATTAAACAAAACTAGCAAAGAAGAGACATGGAAATAGAAGAAGGGAATCAGGTAGATAATTGGGATGGGGCAATATTATATTTGGGTTTCCAGAAAGCGACATTACATTATGGAAAGGGAATTTAGGCGGCTAGGCTGCAGCTTCAGCGCAGAGGCCTAATCGCATTAAATGCACATATTAGTATTTATCCATTTTTTTTCGCAAACCCTAGCTTCCCTATATCAGTCTGTAGAATGAACTGATTGCAAAATCCCAAAATCACCCCTGGAAGGAAGAGAAGTGGGGGGAGGGGGATTTCGTAGATAATAATAACTAGGGGATGACGTGGCAGGAGGTTGGGCAGGGGGGGAGGGGAGAGAGTGGTCCCCACGACGACACATATTTTGGCGAAGGAAGAATCGATTTCTTAGGGATCTGTGAAGGAGAGGGGAGGCCCATGTTTTAAGGGGAGCCTCTGATGTCAGGGTCGTAACCGTTTGACTTAAAGACAAATTCCCCAACCCACATTCATTTACTTATTTATTTGCAATTCCAGCCCAGATTATATCCCATGAATGAACGAACCAATCCAACAACATACGTGTCATTTTGAATGTAAAAAAAAAAATCAAATGCGCCTCAGCGTTTGTGTAAGTTTTTCTCTTTCTTCGACTTCTACTGTTACGTTTGTTTGACCGTTCAACCTTCGAAAGTTTGCAGCACCCTCCTCCCTCTTTCCGGTGTCGCCGGCCAGGCCATCCTCTCATTAATTTCACTCGTTTGTTTCTGATTAATTACCTTTTCCTAGTTTCCATAAACACCAGCATCAAAAAATAAAAAATAAAAAAATAATGTGCTGAATATTTCTGGAAGTTCAACATAGGAATTATCTTTCAATTGCATATTTTTCTACACGCAGATTTCATATCAGTAAAAGTCTCCCAAATAAGATATGATTCCAGCCGTACTGTTTGATTTTCCCCTTCTTTCTCCTTTTCATCAAACTGGCTAGGTGTAGGTACATTTGGATTTTTGAAATAGCTTATGGGAGTCAATGCGTGATTTTGAAATCAATTATCTTGAAATCTCTCATTTTCACAAATCAGTTATTCAGACAAAATCCGACACAATGAAAAATTGTAGCAAAACACTCATTGAAATAGCTCATAAAAAAAAAAACTCAAAAAGAATTCTTGATAATTCACTTCTCTGGCGAGCACTACTATTATCGTTTGAAATTTCAAAATTGAAAATAATCAGAATTTTGTTATATTCCATCCTTATATATCCATGTTTAATTATCCATATTGACATAAGAACAAGTAAGCAACATACAGTATTATGATGGCATTCGATCATCACCATCTAACTATTTTCTGCTACTCCTACTACCTATATTTTATATATACCATTTTATTATATCTTAGTGACTCTGCTCAATCAAATTGTTTAACTAGTACTGTCGATGGGAGAATAATATTCTCATAACACATATTTAGGCAGCATTACTTTGGTTCCAAGTGGATTTACTTTTTTTTATGTCTTAGAAGGGTAGTAGTTGGGGCCTTCTCCTGCCGGCTATATCCGCCCGACCAACATAGATACAATACAGAGAAAGAGCAGTGCCATGCTTGGTCCAGCTCTGCATTCGCCGGATCTAGTCTCAACTTCCTGAACCTAACTAGGGATGCGTTCTTTTGTTTAATACACTGGTAGTTAGAAGGAAGGAATCACTTCATTTTGTTGTTAATCGCATTAGGTGGCATGCTAATTTCAGTAATATTCACATACAAAATGGTAGCTCGCTAGCTACCTGTGCTGTATGTCTCTCGTCTGACTTTTTTATTTCCTTAACGAAAAGTCCACGAGTGGATAGGCTGTCCTTGTTGACAACTTCCCACCCATTAACTATTGATTAACGCTTAGATTAAGAAATGATGCTTTTATGCTTAATTGCATCTTTCCGAAAGTCAATTATTCACTACTACTACTACTACTAATTTATATAGTAACCTGCAGGCCGACAATCTGAGGCACCAAACCCTTCACCGGCTGCATCAAGTACTGACGACGAGGCAAGCCGCGAGGTGCTTTCTGGCCATCGCCGAGTACTTCCACCGCCTTCGAGCTCTCAGCTCCCTCTGGTTGGCGCGTCCTAGGCAGGAATGAAGAAGAATCATACATATAATTATATATTACTAATATATATCATCATCAAGTTCCACATCATCTATCATAGTATTCATATTCGACATGTTAGGTAATGCAGTAGGCAAAAATAGAGGAAGAAATTAAACATTAGCTTTAGAAACTCTCTTTCTGTTGTTAATTGGATGTTGTTTTAAATCAGGTATCAGAAATTATATATCTTCCTTCCTTTTTTTGGGTTCTGGAATTTTCCTGGTCTTTGTTTTCTAAAGATGTATAGACAGAGACGGGATAAAGTAAAAACATTTGTTGTGCTTGTAGCTAGCTAGCTAGCTTGTCTTGGGAGCTTAGCAGCAATGGTGGAATCAAAGCAAAATATCCTATGACTGGAAAAATATGGTCTCATTTCACACCAAAATTGGGGCAGAAAGAATTGCTCGGGGTGTTCAAACACAGTTAATTGATTACTCATCAACTAACTGATTTAGTTTTCACAACGTCTCCAACTAAGTATTCTTTGGGAAGGTGTAGACTAGAGTACTACAACTTTTCTTTTCGTCAATTAGAAAACCATAGCACTACCATTTTAGTAAATACAACAAAACTTAAAAAGCACATCACAAATTTATTAAAGTTTAGTACAAGTCACATAAATCAGAACACATGTGCACAAAAGCACCATAAGATTCTTTAAATATACAAGAAATTCATTAACAATGAATGTACGAGATTTTAGCAATATATATATATGTACTATTTACAAGGTGAATTTCTTTATTATAGTCTACAAGTTTATTAACCATGTCCATCCTTGCGATAGGTTAGTAAAAAAGTTTAACACTATATCTCCTATGAATCCCTAGACATACTTGAGCGCTTTAGCAATTTACAAATGTCTGATATTGGGACCCAAAAATACATTTATGTTCGTTAATTGCTTAGAATTTGTAATCTACATGATGACGCACTTCATTGGTTAAAGGGAAGATAAACCGATGGGCAGGAGGAAGGAATGATTTGCTGCTTCTAACCGTAATTGGCATGACTGTGATGGGTGCGAGACATAATTAGGGTAGGAAATGATGATTTGCTAGCAAACCTAGTTAGAAGCTACTGGCAACGTCATTCCATTTCAAAGTATAAAGTAACCGGACATGTCTTCTTTTCTTTTTTATTACCCTCCCATTAATCCTTCATCTTCCTTTGTTCAACTATCTTTCTCTTCTAGTCGTCTTCTTCACTAAGTATTCTACTTCTTCTGGATCCTATTCGTTTCTGAATTCTTTGGTAGAAAGATGATGATACTTGAGTCGTTTAGGGTTGATAAACTGATGGTGGGATGAAGAGCGACTATGGTTGCACGTCTGTCAAGGGAAAAAGAGAGAACTATGGGAGGAAATGATGATTTGCTACTTGCTAGCCAACATAGCTAGTGCTCTGGTGGATCTCAATCAAACATACAGTAAACCATCAAAAGAATAGACATGACGACGCCTCTACCGTCACTTTCTTTTGGATCCAAACCCCTATTACATAGGTGATTGATTTGTGTTGGGTTAGATACTTGTGGTTCGATATACAAGATTGTTTAGAATCAAAGCACCAGGGACAAAGTCGATTTGGTTCTCAATCCCTCTTATGGGCAGCAACTATTTTCGAGATACCAAGCATGGCTAGTGGGTCATCTATGAATCATGGTTTCAACTCTACTCATATGGAGGATCTTTCATATATTAGACCGCCATGGTTTGATGGATACAACTATTCCTTTTGGAAAACACGTATGATTGTTTTCTTTAAAGGGATGGGCTTTGACGCCTGGAATGTGGTTGAGAAAGGTGTGGGTGATATTAAAGATGATCCTGATATGTGGTCGAAGGATGATCTAAAGAAGATGGAATTAGATGCTAAGGCAACTAATTTTTTATATTGTGAAATATGTCCAGACGAGTTCAATAAGGCGAATCGATGCAAGACAGCTCATCATATTTGGAAAACCTTAGAGGTATCACACGAAGGAACAACAAAGGTAAAGGAATCAAGAATCTATCAATTGGTGCGTGAATATCTGATGTTCAAGATACATCCAAGTGACTCTATCTCAGATATGTATGTAAGGTTCAATTTAATAGTAAGTAGACTCAGTGCCTTAGGAAAAACCTATGACAATGCAGAGTTAGTTAGAAAAATTCTTTGGTGCTTACCTAAAGAATGGATGCCTAAGAAAACTACTATAGAATAAGCAAAAACATTATCTACTCTTAGCATAGAAAATCTAATAGGATCTTTAATTAGTCATGAAATTTCCCTAAAAGCTCAACATGATGAGGAAAATAGTAAGAAAAATAAAAGCTTGGCATTTAAAGCTTATGAGAAAAACATATAGAGTGATGAAAGATTATGTGATAATTCTGGTCAAGGATTTGCTCTTATATCTAAGAATTTTTGAAGGTTTTTAGAATTTGAAAGAAAACAAGGAAGAGGGAGTTCATTTTACCATCGTGACAAAAATAAAAATAAAGATAGAAAGGTAAGATCTTTCGATAATCATAAGAATAGTAAGCTTAAAAATGATAGTGATTACGAAGATCAAGAGTCACCAAAATGCTACAAGTGTGACAAAAGTGGTCATATAAGGGGCGAGTGCCCCAACTATGGAAAGAGTAGGGAAGAGGCTTATGCAGTATCTTGGAGCAGATATGATGCCGAAAGTGAAGATGATGAATATGAAGTTCAAGGCTATATGGATTTTGCTAACAAGGAAGACGGATCATCATCATCAAGATCACATAGGGACGAGGTATATTCTTTTCCTCGTACTTATGATAATGATAGTGATTCAGACTTTCGTAGTGGTATGATTGAAGCTTATGAAGAAATGCAAGATCACTACGAAAAATTAAAGAATAGGTATTACAAAGTAAAAGAGGACTTAAAATTAAGTAAAAATGAGATTAAAGAGCTAGATGATGATATTTTAGTATTAAGAGAGGAAAAACAAGCACTAAGGAAACAAAACAGTAATCTAAGAATAGCAAAATTCTTGAAGAGTTAGAAGAACTAAGGATTAGACATGATGATCTAGAAAAGAAGGCAATAGATTCTAGAACTAAGTTCATAGAAGCTAATTCCAAATTAGAACGATTGGAAGAAAAATATAAGGAAGGCAACTATATGAAAGATGTTCAAAAGTCTTCAGTCGAGCCAACTACTTGCCTTAAATGTAATAAAGAGGCACATCATAAAAAGGATGACAAAACAAGTGTTAAGTGCACGAATTGTTACAAAAAGGGTCAACATAGTAAAGAGTGCAAGAAAAATTTAAGATGTATTAAGTGTACTAGATGAGGACATACAAAACAAGAATATTACTCAAGGATTGTATGCTATTGTTGTCATAAACCAGAGCCTATCAGTAGAAATTGTTATTACAATAATTTTTATGACTCCTCTTACTCATAAATTGAGAAAAAGGTACCCAAGCAAGTGTGGGTACCAAAACCAAACATCTAAATGTTTTACATGTGACTATGAGAGCAACGATCAATTGAATGGTATCTAGATAGTGGATGCTCTCATCATATGATAATATATAACAATAGTCTCTTTTGAAAGTTCTTAAAACAAGGCCCTTGAATGTCGAGAAAACTATAAATGTTGTCTTTTTAATGAAAATAATCATGTCACTAAGTATGAAAAGAAGCAAATAGATGGTGATGGCAACTTGGGATTAACCCAAACAAAGACAACCTCAGTCAGTAGTAAAGATGAGACTTCAATGGTGCATTGCCAATAATTCATGAGCCTGATGCACCTCTGCATATTGATAAGATTCATCGTTCACATCAAGTCACTGTAAATATCAATGATGGGGTCAAAACAAGATCAAGCAATGATATCTATCCAGGTCATACTACTTATTTGGCCTTAATTACTACCATTTTACTTGTCATGTATTGGACACAAGAATGTTAAGGTACTTAGTCCCTAACTAGAGGATAAAACCATCATAGGTAATAAGTGGGTCTTTGATGACTTGATATATACACATATTTTTGTCCACCATTCTTACACCGTTTGAGTCTTGTTTCTCGTGTTTTAGGCCGATTTCACGCTAGGTTATTCTTGTTTGTGATATTCCAGGTCCTAGTACGTGAATGAAGGTTCGGGAACGAGTTCTGGGTCGATTGGATAAAGATTGGACGGTTGGCGAGAAGCTGGGAAAGCCACACGGGCACGCCTAAGATCCCACACGGCTGTGTGGCACCAAATTGCACGGGCAAGCCACACTGGCCGTGTAAGGGACCCCTTCTGGCCGTGTGGAAAGTCCAGAGAGCTCACACGGGCACGCCTAAAATCCACACGGCCGTGTGGTTTTGACCGTGTAGCGTACCCGAAGCCACTTAAGTGAAACGCGACGTTTTGCACACTCACACGGGCAGGTGGGAAAGCCACACGGCCGTGTGGTCGGGAATTTCTGGGTTTTAACCCAATTTCGAGCAAAATGAGAGGGAATCGAATTTTTGGATAAAAAACAGAGCCCTAGAGAGAGAAAGTGCGAAGAACACATCCTAGAAGTGATTTTGGAGCTGGGTTTCATCAATCGAGCTTGGAGATCATCACAGGAGTGAAGATTGACATCCTAGAGCAGATTCTTCCCATTGTTATGATTATGAATGCTTTGTATTATGTTTCCCTTTCTCTCTCTGTGGAGTAGAACTCTCTCTCACTTGGGTATGAAGAACCCTAGTTCCATGTGTTAGGAATCTTGGTTGTAATTACGTTTGGATTGTGATATTGCTTGATTATAATCGATTGAAGTGTTTTGAATGAGTCAATTGAAGTCTGATCATCTTTTATTGATTTCTGCTGCAACCTCAGATAGATGAATCTGATTAGGTTGTTAGAGCTTCTTCAATCGGTAGTAGTGAATCGATTATACAAGAGTTAGTCGATTCACTGCTTTGTACTGGAATCTAATTCCAACAGTGGAGTTCTATGTTCATTGCCTCAGCGTTCTA